TGGGGGAGGGGTCTCAGTCTGGGGAGAGGTTTCTCAGTGTGGGGGAGGGGTCTCAGCCTGGGGGAGGGGTCTCAGTGTCGGGGAGAGGTCTCAATGTGGGGGAGGTTCTCAGTGCCTGTGGGTGGGTCTGAGACCAAACCTTTCCCGTCTAAGGTAAGCGTCAGCTGGGGTGGGTGGGTCAGGGTTGTCCGCTCACCTCTGCCAGCCCCTGTCCTCCCATCTCACCTGTCATCTCACTAGGCAGGAGGCCCTGTGCTGCTGCCTCGTGTCTCCTGCCCCCTGTAGGTGTTGTCATTTGGGGGCACTGTTTCAAAACCTAGGTTGGCCAGAGTGGGCAGGGAATATTAATGACAAGCTCTGATCAGAGAGAATGTGTAAACATACATTAGATATATTCAAATAGAGATCTATGCATCCCACGCAGATAGAAATACTATGTATTTATCTGTTGTGTGTGTATAATATATAAAATAGAACGCATTTTCTGAGGCACGTGTTTACAGATTATTTAGAAAAACCAGAGCGACGTGCTGCAGGGAAAGCAGCCCCACATTCACCCCTCCGTTCACCCCCGAGCTGCTCTGAGCTGTCCTGGGTGCGCTGTGAGAGGAATATTTTCTCTCACTCACCTGGAGGCTCTGTCATACTTTGCCTCTAAATGTAAATAAATGCCTATCTGCCCAGACCCCACCTCACCCCACCCTTTGTGCCGCATCTACAAACACAGGCCATTCTGGAGCCTCTGGGGGCTCAGAGGAGTCCTGAAGCACCAAGCTCCCTCTAGCTTAGACAGGTGGCAGGAGGAAGGGGCCAATGAACGCAGGCACAGTGACTCTGCTGCCTCCAGGGACAAGAAGGGCCACAGTTACCCCAGATGACCATGGGCACTGGCAGCTTTTCTGGAGGGCAGTGGCCACCTGCATGCCAGGAAAGTGAGGCAAATGCCACCATCTTCTGCTCTGTGCTGGGGACAAGTTATCTGACTTCCAACTCTTTGTGTGTTTGCCTGTCTGTCCGCATCTCCAGGAGACGCTTGGGAATCTGATCAATGTAACACAGGTGGGTGGCAGGCCCCAGGATCCTCCCGCTCCACCTGTCCTATGGAACCCAGCCCAACCCACCCCGACTTGCACCCACCAGGAGCCGGGCAGCATTGGGATGTTGTGCAATCCCAGCCCGAGGCCTCTGCCCTTTCTTCCCTCCCTGCACTGGTCAGATCCACAGGACGGTGGTGCCTGGTCCCCTGGCAGATGCCCCTGGAAGGAGCAGGGCATGGCTTTCATGGTTGTGTGCCAGAAAGAAAATTGGAATGTACCTGAAAGGCCGGGTTCCCGGGAGGTGAAGATGGGGGAAGCAATAGGAGGTGGGAGGGTCAGGCAGACTGAGTGTGGCCATCACAGCTGCATGATGCTGGGGGCCATGTCCCTGTCCAGGCCTGGGAGTCCTGCTCTGTCCACACAGAAGCCTGTGGCCCTGCTTCTCCCTCCCGGGCCTCCCTCCCACTGCCCCTGCCCTGCCCGGGGGCTCCCGTCCTGCAGCCACTCCCTGGGTTCCCTTCCCAGGCCCACATACCTGCAAGGACCTGCTAGGCCGTGGGCCTTCCCTGAGCGGCTGGCACACCATCTACCTGCCTGACTGCCGGCCCCTGACTGTGCTCTGTGACATGGACATGGACGGAGGGGGCTGGACTGTGAGTGTGGGGCTGAGGGACCCTGGGCAGAGGCGGTCAGCCTGGGAGACCCGGAGTCCCGGCTGCACACCTGGCCGGAGAACACACTCTGGAATTCTCTATTCCCCTGGTCGGGACAGAGATGATGGGGGAGGTGACCCGTGGGTAAAAGTCCAGGCCGTGGGGGAGGCTGGGAGGGGCCTGGTGCTCTCCTGCTGTGTGGCTTGGGGCTTGTTGCCTCCCCTCTCTGAGCCCCCATTTCCTCCTTCATCCCGTGGGGTCTGTGAGGAGACCAGGTGGGCGTGCTGGGGACCCCAGCCTGCGACGCTCTGCCAACTACAAATGCTGCTCCTCTGGAGGGCGGGTCCCCCGTGCTGTGGGACGTCGGTCTGTCCCCCTGGCTCCCGTTCCCTGGCTCCTCCACAGGTTTTCCAGCGGAGGGTGGACGGCTCCGTGGACTTCTACCGGGACTGGGCCACGTACAAGCGGGGCTTCGGCAGTCGGCTGGGGGAGTTCTGGCTGGGGAACGACAACATCCACGCCCTGACCGCCCAGGGTAGGGCCGCTGCTGGGGCTTGGGGGTCAGGGGGTCCTGAATGGGGGTGCCCCTGCCCCTTAGGCCTGGACTGCCTGGAACATAAGCGCCTCTTAGCCCACAGGGGATTGGGCCCTGAGCACACTCAGGGTGGCACTGGGACCTCCGAGGGCTGCGTCCCCTGCCGCAGGCTGTGGCGGCATCAGGACAGGAGCGGGTAGAGCTCTGGGCTGAAGGCCTCTTCAGGTCTTGGCCCCACTGGCATCTTAGACCCTGAGCATGCAGAGAAAGAGAGAGACCATCGGGGCTTGGCCTAACCCCCAGCCCTAACTTCACTTCCCACTGTCTCCCCTTCCTAAAGCTGCTGTCTCAGGGGCAGAGGGAGGTTCCTCTCTGGGCCCCCTCTCATTCCTCCGGCCAGGCCACAGCCCTCAGCAGGAGCGAGGACAGCATCTTCATCCTCCCGCCACCAGCTCCAGCGTATCAGCTGGTCCCTGATCCTGGGGAAACTGGAAAATGGTCCCTTTCCTCCGCAGGAGCCCATTCCGAGCTCCTGAGCCACCTCCTCGTGTTTGCTGTGACCTTTCCATGTAAAGGAAGGACTGCAGTACTTTCCCACAGTGAGGATCGGTGACCTCACAGCCCATTCCAGGGAAATGCACGGTTCCTTGATGAAGTGAAGTGATATTTGTAGGAGGGGGGAAACTCCAGGTTCAGCGGGTGGACCTGAGGGAGTAGGTCCTCCCAATCCCTCCTACCACAGACGACTTTCTGCATGAACTTGAGGAAACTTTCCGTGGATCACAAGTTCAGGCATCTGAAAACACTCCAATTCCCACCTCCGGTTCCTAGAGGCAGAAGGGCCCTTGGGCTGGGAGCTTGAAACCTTTCTCCTACAGGAACCAGCGAGCTCCGTGTAGACCTGGTGGATTTTGAGGGCAATCGCCAATTTGCTAAGTACAGATCATTCAAGGTGGCCAGTGAGGCGGAGAAGTACAAGCTGGTCCTGGGGACCTTTGTGGAGGGCAGCGCGGGTGAGTGTCTGTGCGGGCTGAGTGGCCTGGGCCTCTGAGGGGGGCTGGGGAAGGGGAGACAGCGTGCTCAGCATCTGGCTATGCCTCTGCTGTGTGTCGTTGGGGGGTGACTTAACCTGTCCAGCCCACAAACCCACAATCTGTTCATCCGTCAATTCACCCAGTTTATTGTACTTGTGAAAATTATGATCCACATGTCATAAAAAGTACAATACATAGTGGCTATGATTATTTGCTGCCATTATTGATGAAAAATGGGGAAGATGATAAGTCTATTTCTACAGAGACTGAATCCCTATACTCTGCTGGAAGTCACTCTTCCCCTCTGCTGTCTCACCCAGAGCCAGGCGGTCTCCGAGTGTAGCAATGCCTGTTAGCTGGCTGAGCAGACCAGGCGAGGAGATGCCAAAGCTGCTGTCCCAGCAGAGCGCATGTTCACTGGGTGGTGCCCCTTGGAGTTGTGCAGTGCACAACATGGGCTCCTGGCCATGGCAGCTCTGCACTGGACCTAGGATCCAGGCTACCTGGATGGAAAATGCCCTACTTTTCCCTCTGAGCAGGTGATTCTCTGACATACCACAACAACTACCCCTTCTCCACCAAAGACCGAGACAACGACCAAGATGCTAAAAACTGTGCTGTGCGCTATCAGGGAGCCTGGTGGTATGCCACCTGTCACCTGTCAAACCTGAATGGTGGCTACCTCGGGGGGGCCCATGACAGCTTTGCAAATGGCATCAACTGGAATTCGGGGAAAGGGTACAACTACAGCTACAAGGTGTCGGAGATGAAGGTGCGGCCCACCTAGCCCGGCACTGAGGTCAGAGGGTCTCTCCACGCACCCTGGCTGGAGCAGCGCATCCCTCAGCCCTCACCAAGAGGGCAACGTGGGGATCGTGGCCCCCATCCTCATGGAAAGAGGGAGCTCCCACCAGTCCCTTGTAGGCATGGCCCACAGAGCTTTGCGCCCAGTGCCAGCGTCCAGCCCCCTGCCTCCCGTCTGCAAGGTTAGGCGAAGCCCCAGTGTGCCTCCCTCACCGCAGCTGTCAGTGCTTGCTTGCCTCACAGGCGATCATGGAATGCCATGGTTATTTGCCCTGCCCTGACCACCGGCCATGCCACTGTGCTGCTCATCCGTCCTTGCTTCCCTGCGACTTGGCCCTGTGGGTGGATCAGATGCCCTAGGGCTGAGGGGGTTTCCCATTGGCTAAGACAAAGCAGGGCCGCCCCGCCTGTTGGTGAATAAAGCTTTATCGGCACAGCCATTCCCATGGCTTCCATATTGTCTCTGGTTGGTTTCTATCATCTCTGGCAGTTTCCAAACGCCAGGCAGAATAGAGTAGTTGGGACAGAGGCCGTATGACTGACAACTCCTAAATTGTGTGTTAATCAGTCCCTTACAGAGAGTGTTTGCTGACCCCTGCACTCACAGCCACCTGACCCCGGCTGCCTGGCCCCTGCTCTGCCCACTTGGCCCCCCTGCCGGGGCTTCCTGCCACCTGCCTCCTAGGGTCTCCTGTTGTACCAAAGGTGATTGCGTGCGCGTGAATCCCTCATCAAGAATGAAGCAAAGATTTGAAGGAGGCAAGTGGGTGAGATGGATCTGAGACCACGGGAGAGGGAAAGGTCCTCCTCCCTCAAGCATTTCCTCTTGGAAGTAGCCGGAAGGCTGAGCCCACAAAACCGTGGGTTGCATAAGGCCTGACAACACCTGTTTTTCTCCTAGTCAGCCAAGCAGGCCCTCTCCTGGGACCAGCTGCCCTAAGCCCAGACCCAGCAGAGGATGGAGGGTTCCCCCCAGCCTCAGTCTGTCTCTCCTGGAGGGGGTTCAGACCCCTGCAGGCTCCATTCCCCACCTATGGAACTCAGGGCCCTCTCTGGGCCTCTGGCTTTGCTTTTGCTTCTGTTAGTCTCTCCCAGGCTTCCTTCTGCCTTTTCTCTGCTCCACTCAACTCGCCAGGTGGAAATGCTGGCAGGCCCAGTGCGGCTGCTGTACCGATGACTCTTCTCAACCTGTGACCTACAGGGACCCATAAGCCTCTAGCAGAGGCCTTGAGGGGCTGAGGCCCACAGGGGAGGGTGTGCGGAGCATGGAGGAGCCTTGGCTCCTGCTCTCAGGTGCTCCTGGTGCAGGTGAGGGCTGTGTGATCACGGAACAGGCCCCTCAGATGGGCACCACACTGTTCCTGAGCTCCCGCTGTCTCTGCAAGCACCCATAGACTGCATAAGGGGCACAGACAGCTGCAGGAGGTGGGGGGCCCACAAATTCCTGTTGTTAGGGGGCTTCACATGGGATGGGTTTGCCCCAGGCCTGTGAGGATGAATCGGATCTGACTCTGGTGGTCCTTCTGTCTACTCTTGGACTCCCCTGCGGACAGCTCCTGGACTAGGCAGGGTTCCTCTGCCCAAGGGACATCCTGGCCTGAAGGAGTTAATGTGGAGGTGGCTGGTGGCACCTGGCAAACCCCCTGCTGTGGGACACTGGATGCCGGCTTCCCTGAGTTCTTCTGGCCGCAGCTCCGTGTGGGAGACAGCGGCTGCCAACACATTGTCCCCGCTGAGGCAGCAGGTCTTGCAGTCCCACGGCTGTGACTCCGTTGCCTGGAGCCTTGTCCACCCGGCCCTAGTGTGGGTGCAGGGGTCCGTGGCTCACTGGGAGGGCTGAGTATAGACCTGGGAATGGCAAGGGCCAGGGGGTGCCCAGAAATTCTCAGCCCCAGCCTTCACCCTGAGGGTCCTGACGCCTGCCACTCCCTGCCCCTCCACCACCTGGCCTCTGAGTTCAGCTGTGCCCCTGGGGGAGCCGAGCCCACGTTACCTCTGTGGAGGGAGGCCGTGCCTGAGTGGCAACAATGAGTGTTCTCGGGGGTGCCCTGGGTGCCTCCTGTACTGAGCCCCAAGCAGCCACAGTGAACAAGGGAGACCCCACCCTGAGCACAGAGCCCGGCCCCGTTGGGGGACAGCCAATCCACCACTGACCGCACAGCCGCTGCGCTGTGATAAAGGAAGGGGGACTCGGAGAGCATGGTGTGAGCCCCCAGACTCTTGAGTCATCACAGATGCTCCCAGGGGAGGGGAGATGACACTGAGCCCCAGAGGAGGGAGAGGTATCAGGATGAAGGTGGGGTGAGAGGGAGGCGGGAGGGAAGCTGGCAGAAGGCAGCTTGTGCGCTTGGAGCCTCCTCCCTTAAGTGGGTCAGAATCCTCACTGCACAGGGCTCCTCCAGCACCAGAACTGGGCTCGGTGGTGCCCTCTCTCCATTCCCCACCCAAAGGCGCTGTCCTCTGACCCCGGAGCCAGGCGACCCCGTTCCCACTGCGGCCAACATGGTTTTTAGTTTCCTTGCCCAAAGCGTGTTTTGTTTTCTAATACGCCTTGTATTTTTATGTATTTATTTGAGCACTACGAAAGACCCTGGGTTTTATTACGGTTGCCACTCTTCTATAATTTACTCAGAACGTGTGATCCGAATCAGGCTGGACAATATTCCTTGTCCAGCCCGGTGTCCAGCGCTGAGGACTGGTGGAACGGGTTGTCTCTGCTATGGATTCCCACAGCTTGGCCACTGAGTGTGGTTTTCGTGGCTTGTGGTTTCTGGGATTGCTGACCGCATCCTGGTCTGGGGGCCACTGTCTGGGCCATCCCTGGGTCCTCCTGCTCGGCAGTTTGATGGGGGGGGCACATGCCTGGCATCTCGAGGGTCCTACTCTCCAGGTCACCTTGTCATCCTGACCAAGAAAAGGGCAGGAAGTAGAGAGGAGTGGGGCTGGGCTGTGTTGCCGCTGCGTGCTCATTCCCCTGTGACCGCATGCTGAGCCCACACCCAGTCCTCTGTTCTTCGCCTCTCTCTGGCTCTGGGGCCCCAGACCCTCTGGGACCAGGGAGCTATGCAGAGTGGGCACTGGGCTCCCTGCCCGGTCCCTCCCGAGCTCCTTCTGGAACCCAGTGCCGAGAGGGAGGATGTGGGTCTGTGGGCAGGTGGAGGACTGTGATGGGCAGGAGTCCTGGCTGCCCCTCGCCCGAGACGAAAGGCCCCCGAGAACCATCAGAAAGCTTATGCTCCGGATCCCATAGGAGTTTCTTTTCTAAGAGCCTACAGGGGTGTACTTGACGTTGAATAAGCTACATGGCTTTGAAGTGTACAACTTGAGTCGCTTGACAGAGGATGCACCCGTGAAACCAGCACCACAGTTGAGACAAGGAACAGATCTATCACCCCCAGACGCTTCCTCATTGCAATTCCAGCCCCATCCGGCCCCACTCGTTGTGTCCCCAGGCAATGTCTGCACTTGTCTCTGTCACTACAGCTTGTTTTCCTAAGACATTTTATGAGTGAAATCATATCCTATCCACTCTCTGCTGCCTGTCTTCCTTTCCTCGGCAGACCTATTTTAAGGGTCATGATGTTGTGCTGTGCACAGCGGTTCGTTTCCTTTCACTGCAGAGTCATACTCCGTGTGTGGATGGACCACAGCTGTGTATCCGTTCAGCAGAGTCACACTCCGTGTGTGGATGGACCACAGCTGTGTATCCGTTCAGCAGAGTCACAGTCTGTGTGTCATGGACCACAGCTGTGTATCCGTTCAGCAGAGTCATACTCTGTGTGTGGATGGACCACAGCTGTGTATCCATGCCGGTGTTGGTGGACATTTAGGTTTCTTCCAGCTGGGGCCACGACAAACCGGGCTGCTATGAACCTCTGTGCACAGGTCTTTGTGTAGATATACGGTTTCATTTCTCCTGGGTTAACATCCAGGCTTGGAAATTGTTGGATTGTCCGGTACGTATATTAGTCCGTTCTCACACTGCTCATAAAGATATACCCAAGACAGGGTAATTTATAAAGGAAAGAGGTTTAGTGGACTCACAGTTCCAACATGACTGGGGAGACCTCGCAATCATGGCAGAAGGCAAAGGGGGAACAAAGTCACGTCTTGCCTGGCAGCAGGCAAGAGAGAGCGTGTGCAGGGAAACTCCCCTTTATAAAACCATCAGATCTCGTGAGACTTGTTCACCGTCACCAGAACAGCACAAGAAAGACCCGCCCTCGTGATTCAATTACCTCCCACCATGTCCTTCCCACGTGGGAATTATGGGAGTTACAATTTGAGATTTGGGTGGGGATACAGCCAAACCATATCAGCAGGTATGTTTTTAGCTTTTTGTGAAATTGCAAAGCAGTTTTCCAAAAAGGCTGCCCTGCTTCGTCCAGCAGTGCAAGAGAGGCAGGTCTTCCACATCCTTGTCCGCACTGGGTATCGTCAGTCTTTTCAGGTTGAGCCATTTTCACAGGGGTGTGGTGACGTCTCATCATGTTTTGTTTCCATTTTCCTTATGACTAATGATGTCGAGCATCTTTTCATAGGCTTATTTGCTATATATCCATAGATCTTCTTCAGTGAAGCATCCTTTCACATCGTGTGCCTGTTTTCCTAATTCGAGGGTTAGTTTTGTTTTTACTGAGTTTGAAGAGTTCTCTCTGTGTTCTGAGTACTACTCCTTTATCAACTGTATGTGATGCATGAGAGCCTATTGCTGCTGTAAGATAATTACCACAAGCTTAGAGGCTTACAATCACACAAAATTATTATTTTACAGTTGTGGAAGTTATAAACCTAAAATCAAGTTGTTGATAGGGCTGGGTTCCTTCTGGAGGCTTCTGGGGAGAATCTGCTTCATTGACTTTCCCAGCTTTTAGAGACTGCTGCATGATAACTCATGGCCCCTCCCTTCATCTGCAAAGAGTGTGGCTCCAACCTTGGCTTCTGTCCTCATTGCCTCCTTTTCCTCCTTGACCCTAACTCTAC